GGTTCACAGATCAGCTTTATAGACGTTCTGGATTTTTTTACAGAGTTACGGAGCGCTCGATGACATCACCCACCCGAATATTAAAACCTCATGTGCCAGCCAGCCCAGCCCGGCAGCGTTCAGCTCCAGGCTCGCTGTTCCCAAGGCTGAGGCTGTGGCACAGCCAGAGGCAAACAGGATGCTCAGGGTGGCAAGTGGCAGCTCCAGAGCAGCCCCAGCCATCCCAGCCCAGAGCTCACCATTGGAGTGGGAACACTGACATAACAGCCCTGATGAGGTCATGCTGGCTGGGATGAACAGGGAATTAGAGCCTCTTGATCCCCGTATTTTGGGTCTTCAGCATCTCTAGGAAAAGGAACATGCTGCCGATGCTGGTTCCTCACTATGGCACCAGGCAGCTGCTTTAGACCAAGTGATGGGTTTTATATTTTCCCCCCTCTTCCAGAAAAAAAAAAAAAGATTTATCAAAACCAAACCTGTTTGTGGGAAACAGCTCCAAAACATTTCCTGACTCGAGAAAAAGTGCATTGGAAAAAAAAAAAAAGTTTCCAGGTTTTTTTAGATGGAAGGCAAAACCTTTGGAGAGGTAACAGCATTCTGTGGTGGGAGGTTAAGCAAAGGGAAAAGGTTGAAATGCAAAGAAAGGTTTCAAATGTTCCCAGAACAACCTTTCCTGGTCAAGCAGAAGCAAAGTTCCCAAGCCTTCCCCAACTTTCTTCTTTGCAGCTCAGTTTGGGAAAGGAAATGTTTGGAAATCTCAGTGCTCCTTGCAGACAGGAAAGGCCCCGTTTCCTCTGCGCCATGCCCAGAGCTGCCGGGCAGCAGGAACACTTGGGTGAGGCTGGGTGCCCGCCCCAGCTCTGCTTCCAGCAGCAGGAATTCTCTGCAGGCAGGGGAGGGCAGCTGCCTGCAGGGAACAGGAGCTGGGATGTCATAAATATTACAGGTTTTGCAAAAGAAAAGAAAAGAAGCCAGCAAGGAGTCCTTAATGTGCCCTGGGAAATCTGTGCAGCCTGAAACGCTTCAGCACTTTTATTGCTGTGAAGTTCATCCTCTGCATCCCTTGTGGAGCTTGGTTGTCTCCCCCTAGCTCACAACATTGCCCCCACCAGCCCTCACATCCCTTCCCCTGCCTTAGGGCCACCACAGGCGCCTGGACCCTCAGTCCCCTGCCCCACACCAACATCTGCTCACCTAGCACCATGCTGAGGCCCTGTGAGGAGGACAGGTCCCTGTGAAGGAGGCAGGTTTGGGCCTCATTGTGTGAGCCATGAGGGGCTTTGGGGGCTTCTTTTCCTCACTGCCTCTGAGCTGACTGAGCCCCACAATATCTGTCAGAACCACTTTGTGCTTCCCTTCTGAGGTGATTCAGCAATGCTGTGAGGTACCAGGAGGCCAAAGGGTCATGGAAAGGTTGGGAGTGTTCTCCAGAAGTCACCTAGTCCAATCCAATCGAGCACAGCACAACCCAGACAGCATGACCCAACCCATCCCACCCAATCCACCTAATGCAACACAGCCAAACCCAACCCAGCCCAGCACAACCCAGCATAACCCAACCCAGTCAACCCAACCCCAAAGAACCCAACCCAACCCAAACCAACCCAACCAAACTAACCCATTCTAACCAATCTCAATCCAAGGTAACCTATCCCAAGGAGCCAATCAATCTATCCCAACACAACCCAACACAACCCAACTGAGCCTGCCTAACCCATCACAACCCAACTGAGCCTGCCTAACCCAACACAACCCAACTGAGCCTACCTAACCCAACATGACCCAACCAGCCTAACTCAACTTCCTACGCAAGTTCTAAGACAAGTCTCCCCATCGTCTCCCGCTCAGCTGAGCTCAACCCTTCCAGGATATCGCAGCGGTTTTGGTGGGAGCCTCTCCCTCCTCCTGTGCTCGGCAGCCCAGGGAGGTTGATCCCTTCAGGGAACTGAATCACATCCCCCCCACCATCGTGGGAGCGTCACAGAGCGTCTGAAGCTCGTCAGGAGAGTCAGGCCGGGCCGCGCGGGGCCGTTCTGGGAAGCCATCCAGCCATCCGCTGGAGAGAGGAGTCTGCCTAAAAATGCCTCTGCTGGCTCCTCTCCACGCTCCGACCGTCCCATATGGAACAAATGTACATTTTCCATCAATTGTTTGTATTTTGCATTTAAAGAAAGAAGGGGGAGGGAAAGAAAAGCCAGCAAGCGAGCGGGCTATACATATACGCAAAGCGTCGGTGACAGCAGATAGGCCCCATCGCGGAGAGGGAGAAACACTGGCCGGCGTTCAAGAGACTCAAAAGTATGGTATGAAACAATAAATTTTAAGTGTGTTTTGACATATTTGGTGGTCTCTGCCTCATGCTTAATGAGCATTGGTCCACGTTGCGGGGGAACTGCACAGCTCGGGTGGTTGGCAGGCTGTGCCGGGCGGGGGGTCGGTGGCCAGCGAGGCCGGAGGCAGGCGTTGAGGAGGTCCTGGCATGTGTGTCCCAAGGGAATGGGGCACGGAGATGTGACACTATGGCATGCTCAGAGGAAGGGATGCTGTGGGTAGAGCAGTGCCTCGGGGACAAGCAGTGATGCCAGCTTGCAGGAAGAAGCATCAAGAGGTAGAATTGTGTTAAATTTGGTCAGGAGGGGGCACACAACATGGTGGAGATGTCCCAGAGCAGCATCCTCACCTCTGCATGGCTTGGGCAACCTGTGCTCTCATCTCCAGGCTGGGTCCCAGCCAGGCAGAACTGCTTTGCCTGCAGGAAGGGCTCCCACATCCCATCACCACAGCAGAAAGCCCGAAGGGATGGGCAGAGCGGGAGGACAAGGGAGCGCAGCTCTCCCGCATCCCGCACCTCTGTGCCAGGCTGCCCGGCTCCCCCCGTCTGGCAGGGCTTGATCAGAAAGATGGACATGAAAGTGGAGCTTGGCTCTGGTTTCTCTCTCATTCAGAACATTCAAAAACTATTAACTGTGGTGGGGGTAAGCAGGCAGCTGGTTTTAATATCGTGCTCTTCCAATTGTGTTGGGGTTTTTTTTTTCCCTTGCTTTTCGCGAGCACTTTAAGTGACATGGTTACATGTATTTGATTAAAAAGCTGTAATTCAACGAGTGCATTTTCTTGTACTGTACAAAACGGCTTAAAGACACAGGATTTATTTACGGTGGTCTCCCAGTTTTCCAGCTCTGCCAAAAGACAAGATGACAGTGAATTCACAGGAGGGAGAACAGATAGCAGCAGAGGGGGACATGCAATGTCTCCTGGCTTTCCCACTGTGGGGAACACGACTGGGTCATTTCCTCTGCTGTAAGGTCAGCCCACTGCCACCAGCCTGGTCCTTGGGGCCATCCACTGGTCCCAAAAGCACAAGTTTCTTTTGGTGTCCCCAGGACTGGGTCTCAGCTTACAGGAGCTGGCAAAGGGGACAACTAGGAGGGGACAGCTAGGTTTGTCCAAACTGGCCCCTATGCTGCCTGCAGCAAGATGCTGCAGGACACAACTGGAGGCAAGAGGGAGAGATTTTTTCCAACCATGCCCATCCCCTGCCCGTGCAGAGATGCTGCCAGCACTGGGGAGCTCGTCCCAATCCAGCAGCTCTGTTTCCTAAGGAGGAAAAAGCTTTTATGAGATCCCAGCAAGGAGCCATGGCCTGATGCTGCCGAGAGCCCTGGATCATCTCCCATTAACCCCAACATGTCCCATGGCACAGCCACAGACTGCAGCCATGCTCACCCACACCTTTTTGGCTTCTCTGCTTCCAAAGTGATGAATTTCAACCCAAAAAGGCAGACATGGAGATGAATAAAGAGTATAGGGCTGCTCTGCAATGCCTCAAGCACCAAAATTACCCTATCCCGTCAGTCCACTGGCCACCATGGGCTGTGGCACAGTCCCTGCACTTCATCACATCCCTGGGCTTTTTGCATTCCTCTGGCCTGGAAAGGAGGCGTGTGCCTGTGCGTGTGCGCGCAATGCTGACCCCACAAACCCACTCCACCCAGCACAGCTTCACCTTTCTCACCCAGATGCATAATAAAAAATATGTAACAAAAATAAATCCAGAAATGCTTGCACCTCACCTGCCTCAAAGTCCCTGATGTGCAGCCCCGGGGACATGGACACCGACCCCGGCATCACTCAGGACCACCCTGGGAAATCCCAGCTCCCCCACCCCTGCCTGGGGGGCCGGAGCCTGCCTGGCTGCTGGCCATGCCGAGCCGAGCCGTGTCTCTGCCTCAGCTCGCTCATGCCCAGGGATCACCTGCAGTTCAGTTGATTTATGAACGGAGAATTTTTCGAGCTCTGTTTCCTTTTCATTGTTGTTTCAGTTGCTGCGCTCGCTTCCGCCTGCCTTTGAATAACTCCTGCCATGCTGTGAGCGGTGAGAAAGGCACTGAGTAAACACTCACACTCAGCCCAGGAGCAGGGGCAGGAGCCCCAAAAACAGGGGGACACAGGGCTGCCCACTGGCTGGTCCTACCTGCAGAGGAGGTTGCTGAGCTCTGAATGGGCAGAGCCCCGAGATGGATCTCTCTTGGCACAAATCTGCTGTTTGGGATGGGGTAGCCACATCCTGACCTCCTGCCCCATGACACAGCTCCTGGGAAGTGGCAGTCCCGTGGGGATGCTGCTCTCCACGCTGTGGCTGCGGAGGAGAGGGGTGTGGCGGGTGGTTTGACTGCAGGGACCCTAAAATGTGATTTTCAGAGGGGCTATTCATTGCCCCGTAGAGAGCAGGGTCCCCCCACCCAGGGCTGTGCTCCACCCGGCTTCATTCCTGTCCTCATGCCCAGCTGCAGCAGGGGCTCCCACTGCTGTACAGAGACGATGTTCTCTCGGGAGTTTGGTTGATTTACAGCAAAGCCCTTGGAAAAAAAAAAAAAAAAAAAAAAAAAAAAAAATCAGGAAAGGGAAGAAACCCCATCCGCAATCTCAGCTCAGCCCAGGACCCACATCCCCGCTGCAGCCACCTGCCATCCGCCACGGAGGAGCCCCCATCCCGGGCGATGGGCAGCTGCCCGTCCGACCTGCGCCCATTGTCCTGCCCTTCCTCCCCGCGCCCCTCGCCCCCCGCCGCCGCCCCGGGGCCGGGGGGGAAAACAGGAAGCGCTCCCCAGCACGGTGCTGCGGAAATGAGACAAGCGGGCTGGAGCGGCGGCGAGGACGGCGGGAGGAAGCGGACGGGATATTTGGAACCGACGGCGAATTCTTGGGCTTATCTCTGCGCCGCAGAGGCCCAGGAGTCCTTACAAAACAGCGCCCAGCTGGAGCGAGGCCCGCGGCCGGGGACGCGTCCTCGTCCCCAGCGCCACCGCTGGTGCCCGGCGGGGCGGCGGGATGCTGGTGGCAGGGAGGGGACACGCAGCCAGGGTGGTGGGTGGCACCTGCGTCCCAGCAGGGCTCACAGAAGGGACCTGAGGCCCTGCTGCAGTGTGGGGATGGGCAGCGCCCGGGCTGAGCGGTGCCCAGGTCGGATGTCCCATCCTTCCGCAGGAATCTGGGGGTGAGGACGCTCCCCAGCATCCCTAAAGCCTGTCTAAAAATCCGGCTGTTTTATGAGCCCCCAGGCAGGAGCTCCCTTTTCCCATGGGAAACCATTCCCTGTCCTGCCCACAGCCTGCACTGGGGCGCTTTCAGCCCATCACCTTCCCTTCCACACCCGCAGAACCAGCGGCGGGGCTGGGATGTGGATGCTGCTGCCCTGCCTGCCCTGCCTTCCCTGCCCACGAAGGGTTACAGCCAGCCCGGATTGCTCCGATTTCACCCTTCCATCTGCTGCTGGCCTTTTTGGTGGGTTTGAATTATTTTTCATAACAATGCTGTGATACTTTATATTCGGCACACCCCAGCTGGGGAATAGAAAGCGGGTCCGGGCTGGGAGCACCCGACCCGAAGGCAAAGGTCTCTGCAGCGCTTCCTAAAAGCTGGAAGCTGCCCGCTGGGAGAGGGGCCGGGGTGGTGCCACCATCCCGGGGAGCTGGGGCTGCTGCCAGCACCCAGGGCTCCCCACTTGGGCTTTGGTGGGGTCAGTCCTTCGTTTTATTAATTGGTGGTGAAAATTGAACAGGAGCCCGGCAGCGGGCAGGGAAGGCGGAGGGAGCACCCCAGAGTGAGCGGCTGGAGGTGGGTGTCACCCTCCTGGAGTGTCCCAAACGTGGTGGGGACCCCGGCCGAGGGCACCCAGCGCCTCCCACTGCAAGAAGGCGCCTCTGGAGCCGGAGAGCGCTGGCGGAGGGCGATGCCTGCGGCCGGGACCCGCCGAGCAGCGCTGCCGAGGCCAGGGCAGCCAAATGTGGGGCTGGAGGGGGAGCAGGGTGTGACGGGTCACCCTGGCAGGGGCTGAGACTCCTCCTCTGCGGGGAGGAGGACAAAGGATGGAAGCGGCTGCCCCGTTGCAACACATCCCCGGCGAGCACAATGGAAATGCCATCCTCCGTTCTTGTGAAACAGGAACCTCATATGATCTCGCTGAAGGCTTGGGGACACTCTTGTAGGTCTGAGCGTGACGCTCCCAGGCCCATTTCTCTGCCCGCAGGGGGACAGGGAGAGTGGGGAGTCCCCCAGAGCATCCCTGCCCTGGTGAGGACCCAACTGCCACCGCTGTCCCCTGTGGCACGCTGGAGCCGCTGGCAGGAGGAAGGTGATGCCCTGCCACTCACCCTGGGGCCAAAACACGCCCAGGTTCCCCTCCAGCCCCACCAAAACACCATCCTATGGTTCCCCCACAGCCCTGCTGGGCATCCCCCTCCCGCCCTCCTCGAGGACTCCTAAATAAACTTCATTCTCTCTTTATGTTCTTGACCCCAGATTTAATTAGACCCCCGTTTCCTGCCTATATGAAAAATCACTTCCCCGAGCAGGTGGCTGCGGTACCGCGGGGGCTGTTGTTGTTTTCTTCGGGGCGGAGGGGGGGGGGGGGGGGGGGGGAAGGTGGTAAATGGGGGGAAGAGTTTGTTGTTTATTTTTATATTTACAAAGCGCAGCTTTTTCCTGGTGCCGGGCATCGGAAGAGTGGCAGGATGTGACCTTCATCCATCTCCTCCTCGCTCGCACAATGCGGCCCCGAGCTCAGCCGGCTCTGTCCCCCCCGGGCGGGCTGCGGGCACCTCCCGCGCCGCCCCGCCGGCACCGGCACCGCTGCCCCCAGCTGGGCCCCGCCGCTCACACCGCGAGAAAAAGGAAAATAGAAAAAAAAAAAAAGAAAAAAAAAAAAAAACGAAAGAAATATAATAGCAAGGTTGCCGGTTTCCTCTCTGCAAAACAAGCTGGAGCTGAGCGGGACAGCAGCGTGGGAAGGAGGGAGAGAGGGGTCCCCTGGAGCCCCTGGGGAGCCTCCCCCCTGTCGGGGAGTGGCCTGGGCACGCTGCCGCCTCCTTCACTCCGTGTGTGGGGCAGAGCAGCCTTTTTCCACCAGGCCTGGGCAAATGAGCCCCGTTCTCCCGTGCAGGGGTCAAACACACCTTGGGCCCCTCCAGATGCGGTCCTGGCATAACCCGGGGCGGAAGGCAAGGAGGGAATGCAGAAAACATCTGCTTCCCTCACCGTGACACCGTGGGGAGCACCCAGCAGGCAAGAGCCCACCCAGACCCCGGCAGAGACCGCGGAACGGGCGCTGCTCTCTGTCCCCATCCCCCGGAGCATCCCGATCCCTGCAGGCTCCTACATCTGCCGGGATCGCTGCGGGGCTGATCGGCAGAGCCAGCTCAGGTGTGGGGCTGGCACTGCCCGGCCCCCCTGTGCCTGGGGCCCGATGGATGGAGACACAACGGAGCGAGCTCTCCTTGTTTTCCTTCTTCCCAGGAAGCACCACGATCCCACAGCCCCCCCCGGTGTGGGGAGGGACACACTCTGGGCCGTTTGTGCAGAGCAGAGCCTGAGGTGACAAAGCTGCAGGGACAAACCTCTGATGTGACCCCAAACCGGTGCTGGCACCCACCGTGGTACTTGCTGATGGCAAAGGAATTGGTGCAGGATTTTACAGGGACAAGGGGTCTGTCACCCCACACCTTCCCCAGAGGGTTCCTCAGAGCTGCCCAAGAGCCCAGGGCAGCTCTGTGCCAGCTCTGAACAGGGCTGGCACAGCCAATGTGACCCCCAAATACCCTCAAGCACCAGGGTGGCAAAGCTGGACACTGCCAGCTGGCACAGGGCTGGTGTGTGCCAACCCCCTGGTCACAGCCTGGATCCTGGAGCAGGGGTGGTGCTGCAGCATGGCATGGCACAGCATGGAATGGCATAGCATGGAATGGTGTGGCACAGCTTGGTATGGCACAGCATGGGATGGAACAGCATGGAATGGTGTGGCACAGCTTGGTATGGCACGACACAGCACAGTATGGAGTGGTGTAGCATGGCAAGCATGGCATAGGGTAGCACAGTACAGTGTGGCACAGCATGGCACAGCATGGCAAGCATGGCACAGGGTAGCACAGTACAGTGTGGCACAGCATGGCACAGCATGGCAAGCATGGCACAGCATGGCACATCACCAGGGCTGCCCTCGCTCTCACAGAAACGCCCCCCAGAGACACCAGCACCTCAGTCTGACCCTGGCCAAGCACCCAGCACCAGAGAGGGGGGCTCATTAATTTCTCCCTAATTCCCCAGCACCCCCATCCCATGAGTTGGTCAGTGCCCACCCTGCCCAGGAAGGAGCAGGTGCAGCCCCAGTGGGGTACAGCACCCACCAGCCCAGAACAGAGCACCCCAAAACCCACTGGGCCCCCCCAGCACCCAGGGACCCCCCAGGTGTGCTAGGCAGGAGGTGCCCACCTGGGCACAGGGCTGGGTGTGCTCACACCAGCCCTGGCCAGCACGCTTGGTTATCCTCACATTTGGCATCAGCTGCTTCCATTGGGCTCCATAGGGGAGGGACAGAGAAAAGGAAAACTCAGCTCAGGGCGATTTAATAAGTTCAGTGTTACGAGCTGGGGAAAAGCTGTGGAACACACAAGTGGTAACGCAGGATTAATCTTTCCTTTAGTCTTGGGAATTATGTTTTCATTAATCCTAATTTTTCCAGATGTTTCACTCCTTATACCATGTTCTTCAAAGCCTCTGTGGCTGCAAATTCTAATGAAGGCATGAGAACATTTTAAAGAGAAAGATTCAAAGCTTAAATTGCTTCCTTTTTTTTTTTTTTTTTTTTACTTGAGTTTTTCTTTTTTTTTTTTCTTTTATTTCTTTTTCCCCCTCCCTCTTTTCCCCCCGGTTGGGCTGTCGGGGAGTGCATGCGTGTGCGGTCCCAGCGCCTCCACATGTTGTGTTACACAATGTGCTAACAAGATGGAGAAGGCCACTCGGTCCGCGTGATGCCGGGGTGACGTCTGTGGGGCTTTGTGTCCCCCCCACCCGGCAGGACCCGGCTGCGAGGGGCTGGCGAGGAGGGGGCTGGCCCCCTGCCCGCCCCTGTGACAGCGGCACCGGGGTCACAGCTGGCCCGGAGCTCCCAAAGCATTCCCGGTGATCGCTGCCGGCAGAAGGAGGGTGGGTGCTGTAGGAGCCACGGAGGGGATGGAACAGAGCCGGAGCTGCGCAGGTAGCCCAGCTTTGTGACAGGATCTATATGGAACAGGGAATTTTGGGGTGCTCCAGGCTGGAGGGAGCTGGGGTTAAAGAGTGATGCCCAGGTCAGGGGTGTTGTCAGCAGTTTCTTCCCATCCCTGCAGGGATGAGTTTGGAGCTGGCACCTGGGTGCCAGCGCATCACTGCTGTGTGATGGGAGCCCCTCCGCTGGCACTGCAGCATTCCCAAGCCTTGCTCCCCTTCAGGCTTCTCTGTGCATCCATCCCAGCCCGGCACAGGGGCAGGATCCGGCTGCCACCGCCCGGTGTCCCCTCCTGGCCGGGAGGGAGCCCTCGTCTGACGCAGGAGGTCAGGCAGGACGATCGTAACAACCCTGCCGGGCTCCAGCACCCGGGATTCAGATCCATGGACTTATATGGCCTGCAGAACGCGGTGGGAGCATGACCAACGTCTGGAAATCCAGATATGACTAGATCCCTTCATTAGTAATTTCTTGTACATGACTTTCTAGACCATGGGGATTTGTTAAATTTGCAGGAGTGTTTCTCACAGTGCCATGGACTGGCTGCTGCCAGCATATATTGGCTCGGATCTGTCAGATCCTGTTGCCTTATATGACCCTCGGTTAATTCAGCTTTTCTTTGTATCCAGCCCTCAGCGGGGAACTCCTCCAGCAGTCCCAGCGTGCATCCTGCTAAAATGGTTCCCCAGCCCTCCTGCCATAAAACAAGTGCCCCCCCCCAGTGAAAGGGGGATGTGGGGGGTGGAATTCAATGCTCCCCTCCCTCCCTGCTGCCCAGGCCCTCGCCAGATGCTTCCTCCATCCCTCGTCCTTCGATGCCAAGAGAAAACTTGGTGTGCCTGAGAATGTTACTGGAGGGATTGGACCTTCTCCCCACAGGGGCCGTGGCATCCCAGCGGTGCACCCTGCACTGTGGGGTTAATCATTCGCTGCCCTCGGGAGTGCTCCAGGGCTTGGGGGGGACTTTCACCTTCCCAGCGACCTCTTGGAATTCTGACCTTCTTTTATGGGTGCCATAAAGGTTATTTTTTAATCTGCAACCTAGCAGGGTTTCCCCCTTCTCAGCTGTGGGGTCTTTGGTCCGGAGAGTACTCGGGCATCACTGCTTTTTGTGCCTCATCTGGTTTGGGAGGTGGAAAGGCTCACAGGATGGCCTTTTCCCAAGGGAAGGGGATTGTGGCACAGCTCATCAAAGGAATGTGGTGTTGGTTGGCCCTGTGGATGTGGTAGAGCTGAGGGTGCTGCTGGTAGGGATGTGAGGGGCTGTGGGTCACAGTGGATCCCAGAAGCCCAGACATACATCCCAAATGCCCAGGTGCTGCCAGAGCAAGATTTCCAAGTGGAAAAAGATTGTGTGTCCAAGGACATGCTGCAGACCCTGCTATTCCCCAAGCACCCTCTCCCCAAGCACTGAGTCCCTTCACAGGAGCTTCCCCTGTGTCCCCAGCATCTCCTGACCTGGCAGAGTCCAGGGAGGGACCCCAACCTCCTGGTGCCCTGTGCCTCTGTCCTTGCCAGAGATCATGGCCAGATCCAGGAGAGCATTTACATCCCAAACTTCCCAATGTGCTCTTTGTCCTCTCCTGCAGATCTGGCAGTGCTGGGATGCTCCAGAAGGATGCATCCCTCTGGCATCTTCCTCCTCCTCCTTGCAGGAGGCACTGAGCCATAACCTTGGAGTCTTTCAAGCACTGTGTTTCATAAAAGACCTGATCAAAGCTTTTCCTTTTAGCATTTGATTTAACCACACCTTAAAAAAGCTGCATACCAAAGCAGGAAGAGGAAGGCTGAGATGCTGTGGGGAGCAGGAGAGGAGCAAGAGGGCAGCATCCATCTCTAGCCACTCTGAGAGAGCCCAACCCTTGCTGAGCCAGAGCCAAAATGCTTCCTCAGCTCTGTGAGAGCAGCCCAGCTCCTCCATCACAGGAGCACAACCTGCTCCAAGCATCTCCCTGGGCTTGTATCTCACCCACAGTGAACCAAAGAAGTTTCACTGTACCAGGCAGGCTCCTCGAGAATCTCCTTGATGGGCTGGTGTGATGTGTAAAGGGACACAGGTGAGGCGTTGGGGGCTGAAATCCCCTTTGTTTGACTTTTGTATACCAGCAACCAGGGCTGGCTTTGCCTGCACCCTTTGTCCTTCATGCCCTGACTGGTGGAGCTGGCAGCTGGCAGCAGCCATGGGAGCTGGGTCGGGCTGTGCCCCTGTGCAGGCAGAGGCAGGAGCAATGGGAGCATCCTGCCTACTCATCCCATCCCATCCCATCCCATCCCTTCCCATCCCTTCCCATCCCTTCCCATCCCATCCCATCCCATCCCATCCCATCCCTTCCCATCCCATCCCATCCCATCCCATCCCATCCCATCCCATCCCATCCCTTCCCATCCCTTCCCATCCCATCCCATCCCATCCCTTCCCATCCCATCCCATCCCATCCCATCCCATCCCATCCCATCCCATCCCAGCCACCTCAGGGACAGCAAAGATCCGAATGGCACCACGAAGACCCCAGCCCCACATTTCCTTGGGTGAGGGATCCCCATGGAAGCATCCTCTGCCATCAGCACTACCAGCCATGCAGCAGGGATGTGTTAGGGGCAGACAAAGCATCCCAACTCCCATCCCAAAACCCCCAGAGCTCCCACCACCCCTCTTTGCTGTTGGCCGTGGCTTAGGCACAACACAGCCCCATCTCACCCGTCAAAGGCACTGCCTTCAAAGCACCACCTCCTCCTCTCTGTTGCCCCCATTTCCAGCATCTTTGGGTTGAAAAATGGCCGGGGAGAGTTTGGCAGAGGAGCCTTGTGCAGATTATTCAACAATTGTTTCCCATTTTGCGCCCTCGCCTGCCTCATCCTCCAGTAACAATGACGAAGAGCGGCGCGGAGCCAGCGCCCGCGGCAGGGGTGTTGAGATCAGGGACAGCACAAAAATATCTCCTCTCTGGAACAAATATTTACCAACCCTTCTGCCTTTTGTTCTTGTGGTTCTCATATATTTTTTTTTTAATTTCTTTTTTTCCAGACATTCACTGGCAAAATGTCACACTAAGCAGCAACCCAGAAACTTCGGGGTAGCTGCTTGGCTGCTCTGGGCTTTGTTTTTCTCGCGCACTAATTGTTAATGAATATCCAGCCATTGAAGCCAATGCAAACCTGTGAGAAAACGATCTTTTCAGCCCTGGCTTTGGGACGTTATGGGGCTTTGCAAAATCCAAGTGGTGGATAAGGAAAATGTGCATCATCCTGCAGAATGAGGTGCAGGAGCCAACCTGGAGTGGAACGTGGCACAGCCAGAGCGGGAGCTGGCATTGTCTGAGCTGCCAGCATCACTCCAGGGCTGCAGCAGGGAGGTCCCCATTCCTGGATGGGGATAAGTTCAATGGGGGTGAGTGCCATGGTACCCCCATCCCTGGCCAGCTCCTCACCAAACTCCTTCTCCCTCATCTGCACCACCACAGGTTTTTCTTTTTTCCCTTCAAAATCATAACGCCCCTCATGTCCACTTTTATGGCGGCCAAACAAGAACATGTGGTTATTTTATGGGTGTTGTGTTTAAAGAAGGGAGGGGTAGAAACCTCCTCTTCTGGAACATAAACTCAGATCTTTGGTTAATAATTAACCATGGCCATAAAACCCTCGATGTAGGAGCAAGTGGAGCTCACCCCAGAAGCGCTGCTGGGCTGTCACCTCACCCCAGTACCCTGCTGACCACGCTCCACCATCCCCTCCTGTCCACTCCAGGATGGCTGTGCCACCCTCCACCTATCCCCGTCGCCTCCTGCCCCTCTTCCTGGGGCTGTTCCAGGGCGCCCTGCTCCTCTTCTTCGCCCTCTTCGTCACCTATGATGAGCCCTCGGCGCAGGCGGAGGATACCAGCTTGGTGGCCAACCAGGTCTACAGCACCTTCCCCTTCTTCCAGGACATCCAGGTGATGCTGGTGGTGGGGCTGGGACTCCTGCTGACCTTCCTGCCCCGCTATGGGTTCAGTGCCCTCACCCACAATTTCCTCCTGCTCAACTTCTCCATGCAGTGGGCGCTGGTGCTGCAGGGCCTGCTGCACCACTTCCACCACGGCCAGATCCACCTGGACCTGCACAAACTCCTCCTGTCTGTGTTCGCTGCTGTGACAGTGCTCATCTCCGTGGGGGCCATCCTGGGGAGGGCCAGCCCCTGCCAGCTGCTTGTCATGGCCACCTGTGAGATCCCCCTGTACCTGGCCTGTGAGTGGGTCATTGTCACCTGCCTGGGCGTTCAGGATGTGGGTGGCACCATCACCATCCACGTCTTCTCCTGCTATTTCGGCCTTGGCGTGTCCAAGGCTCTGTTCAGGGCAACACAGCAGTCACTGCACCCCAAGGAGACCCCAACAACCAGCTCTGACCTCATGTCCCTGGTGGGAACGCTCATCCTCTGGGTTTTCTGGCCCAGCTTCGTGGCTGTCCTCTGCCAGCCAGGCGATGCCCAGCACCGTGCCATCCTAAACACCCTCCTGGCCATGAGTGCCAGTGCCATAACCACCGTGGTGGCCTCCAGCCTGCTGGACAGGGACGGCAAGCTCAGCCCCGGCCACCTGCAGAACGGCAGCCTGGCGGGCGGGGTGGCCATCGGCGTGCTGGCCGACATGGCCGCGCCCCCCGCGGCCGCCCTGGCCCTGGGCAGCCTCTCGGCCGTGCTGTGCGTCCTCGGCTTCAGGTTCCTCACCCCGCTCCTGGCGAGGAAACTCACGCTCCACGACCAGTGCGGCATCCACAACCTGCACGGCTTGCCCGGCATCCTCGGCGCCGCAGCCAGCGTCGTGGCCGTGCTGGTGGCACCCAAGGACACCGCCGGGTCCCATCCCTCTCAGCTGTCCCCCGCTGGGGGCAATGCCAGCGAGGCGGTGCTGGAGGGGCAGTGGCGGTCCCGGGGGGCGGGCGGGCAGGCGCTGTGCCAGGCGGCAGGGCTGGCGGTGGCCGTGGCTGCCTCGCTGCTGGCCGGGCTGCTCGCCGGGAGCGCCCTCCGGCTGCCCTGCCTGGCCCGGCCGCCCCAGCGCCTCTGCTTCGAGGATTCGCTGTATTTTAAGATCCACGATCAGGCTGAGAGCCCGGGGCCAGACTGCAGCGCTGAGGAAGGAGCCCTGGCTCTGAAGGAGCAGGTTTAGTGGTGTGCATGCAGCAGCAGGGAGGGCCAGAGAATGTTACCGGCAGGATCTATCTCCTGCCTGCTCTCACTCCTGCCCCATGCCTGGAGCCAGCTGTGGAGGATGCCGGCACAGCTGGGTTAGCACCGTAGCACAGATCGCCTCTCTGTCCTCCTACCCTGCAGCTGCAATCCCCCTCCCGTGTCCCAGTGGCTCCCAGCGTCCATTCACTCCCAGCAGCAGCAAGAGAAGCGACCTGCTCAGGATTGTCTCTCCCAGGATGGTCAATAGGCCCCAAGGAGCCCAGACAGCCACTCTCCAGGGCACTGGCCTCGGCTGCTTCGCTCCCAGCGAGCGGCATCACCCTCAGTGCCCACCCCGACCCTCAGCTCCAGATTCCCCTGCCCACGACGGGCAGCACCTGGAGGAGGCTGCCAGGCCAGGCCACAGCTACAGGAAAGGAACTCAGCGTCCACTGCCCGGAACGTGAAACTGCAGCAGGGAGATGGCCCCAAGCAAAGGACTTTACAGGGATCTGATAACCTGAGCTGGGCAATTCACTCTCCAGGAGAGTTTGCAAAGGGAAGCGCCAACCCTTTTTACCACTGGTGCAGCAATGAGGATGCGGCCCAAGCACGGCGAGGAGCCTTGGCGAGAGAGCCAGGATGCAGGAGGCCCCCGCAGCCCGCAGCACCCTCATCCCACCCCGAAGCCGGAGCTGGGAAAGCTGCGCCAGCATCCCAGGAAGAGCAGCGGCCCCATCCCATCCCAGCACGGGCAGCGAGCCGCTTCCACCCTGCGGAGGACAAAGGCTGCGGTCCATGGCTGGCATACGGCAAGCTGGGAGCGCGGGGCCGCATCCTGCCCGGGGAGCGAGGGCTGTGATTCACATCCCCCCGCCGTGAATCACCGCTGCCCCTGCGCCCCCTCCGAGCCCTGCCGAGACAATGCGGGCCGTGCTCCCGAGGGGGTCGAGGCCACCGAGCCCCCAGTGCTGGGGCAGGACTGGGGGGTTGCCGGCGAGGTTGGGGGTCCCCAACCCCGGGCGGGTGGGAGAGGGGCTGGATCCCTTCCACCCGGTGCAGCCCCAGGCGGAGCCAACACCAGGAGGGAGAGAGGCTGGGGAATTCGCCCTCCAATAATCACAAACAGGCTTGAGGGGCCGGGCGTGTTTGGTTAATTGTTAGAATAAAATATTGCCGAGCTCTGACAAAGAAATCCTGCCCCGCAGCCCGGCGCGGCCGAACAATGGGCCCCGGCGCAGGGCGCTGCGGGCTGAGCGCTGGGGCCAGGGGCCTTGGGGGCGGGAGGCAGCTCCGCTCCCCCTTCCCCAAACGAGCCCCAGAAGCCCCTCATCCTCTTGGCAGCTCGGTGTGGATGTGCCCCATGGCAGTGGAGCCATCGGAGTGGAGACCGGCCCTGCCCATCAACGCCTGGATCCCTCTGGGTGCTGAGAGCCGCCGGGGCCGGGGAGCCGCGATCCCATCGGGGCCGGATCGGCAGCACCAGCCGCTGTCAGAGCCCTCCCGGGAGAGCCCCGCAGCCCAGACCCGTGAGAGCCCTCCCGGGAGAGCCTGGCAGCCCAGGCCTGTGAGAGCCCGACAGCCCAGACCCGTGGCTGCCCCACATCGGGGCCTGCCGGGTCCCATGGCAGCTCCAGCACCGGGAGAGGAATGCAGGGACAGCGGCACCGGGGCTCAGACACCCTGTGGGGAAGGTGGAGGGCAGCCACATGCACATGAGCTTATACACCTGTAATCACACACACGTGTGTGCACAGCCCTGCACTCACAACAGCCCAGGTGTGTGCCCAGACACACATGCACTCACACACGTGTACACACACATATACACACAGCATGTGTACACACACGTACACACACATCTGTGCACACACATCACCTGCACGTGATGCACGGACACACATGCGCATACACATATGTGCACACACATGCGTACACACACATGCACACACACACACACATGCACACATGTGCATGTGATGCACACACACATGCACACCCACATCTGTACACACACACATGTACACACCTACATGTGATGCACGCACACACATGCACACACACACATGTGTACACACATCCAGCACCCACTCACACCCACACGCAGGCACAGCCCCGAGGCTGTGAGCCTCTCTTGCTGTCGGGGACAGCGGAGCAGCCGCTTTCCAGCATCTCCCGGCCCTTCCCGGCGAGGATGAGGCCGCAGCTCCCGCCGAGCAGCCCGCGGCAGCCGGCGGGGGAGCGAGCAGCGAGGGGAGCACACCCGGAGCCGGGCCGGGCACACCCCGCCTCCCGGCTGGCATGTCCTGGCACGGGCACCCCGGCACGCCGCGGCACAATCTGGTCGGCAGATGCTCCAAAAACCAGCAAGAGGCCCAAGAAGTGATGGGGGGGTGGGGGTCAGCGCTTTCCCACTGCCCACAAGGGCTCAGGCACCCGGCGACCCACGGCCAGGACCCACCTGGGTCATGGCACGGCTCCATCAGCCTGGCCTTCCCTCCTCCCTGAGACCCACTGTGCTGTTCTGCCTCTGGGTGTGCTGCCCAGAGCTCCCGGCTCCTCCAAACCAGCCTCTCTCCAAAGGATGGAGCAGTCAGATATTTTGCAGAGCCTCCAGCGTTTATCACACTGTAAATCTGGGCTTTCAGCAGCTTCACGAAGCTGCAGGGAGATGGGAGAGAACAAAACGCTGCTCTGCTCCATCATCAGACACGGCCTGCGTGTGCCAGGGCTGCCAGGGGCTGGGCCCCCATCCCCTCTGCAGAGGGACTGAGCATTGAAGCAGGGGGTTTATGTGGGCAAGGGCCCCCAGAGCCAAGAGGGGCTGCTGGCACCCCAAGATGGTGATGGCTCGGGGACAGCTGCGTTTCGGTGGGACAGTGGTGGTGAGGAGGGCTGAAACGTGCCTCTGTGGGACCACAGCAGCCCCTGTGCCCCAGGCATGGTCCCCCAGTGAGGCAAAGCTCCCCATGCACAGCTCCTGGGCACAGTACCCCGGTGTGGACCCACAGCAGCTGGGCATTGCACCCCTGTAGGGCCCTGGGCACGGTGCCTCCCCCAGAGCAGTGCCCCCCTCACTGGGCTCTGCTGCTGCCTCTGAGCTCAACCCCGAGCTGGGTTGGGATGCAGCCCAGTGCTCCTGGCAGGGAGCACCAGCCCCCATGCTCGCCCCCATCCCCGTCCCCGCAGCCACTCCAGCAACCCCCATCTCCCGGGGGACCCTGCTGTGATTGCAAAACAGGCAGGGAGGGGAGGAAGCCGGGGTTGTGCTGCTCGCACAGTGCTCGGATGCAGCTGGCAGAGCGAGCCGGGCACAGGGCACGGGGCAGGGCTGTGGGCACGGCCAGGAGCCCCCAGCCCCTGCGTGCCCTCGGCTCCAGCGCCCTGCGCAGCCCCTGCCACATCCCTGAGGGCACACAGGGGCACACAGGGACCCCGGGCGAGGCAGGGGCTGGCTGGGCCCTGAGCTGCTGCCGAGTGCCTGGCACGGCATAGGGGGACTGGGGGGCCGTGGCAGCGGCTGGAGCCACATCAGAGCGGCCCCCCCGGAGCCACTGGGAGCACACAGAGCTGCCCTCGAAGGAAATGCGCTCACTCCCATGTGCTGCACACTTGGGTTCGCCTCGCTGCTATTTTTATTTGACTTTTCAGGGCCTGTTTCCTTTTTCCGGCTGTTTTTGCTGTGATTCCACCATCACAACGACCTCGTTTTTCCCCCTCCCTCCCTGTTGCTTCTTCCTTCTCTCTTTCCTTCCTTTCCATGCACTCATTCCCACTGCCACACCAGGCTCCCAGCAGCAGCTGCCTGCGAGGGAAGGGGCAGTAAAGGGAGGTGGTTTTTGCTCTGGTTTATCTGTGAAGGTGCTGACAGGTCACTGAAGGGGGGACTTTGCTCCAGTCTAGATGAAGAGAAAGGCTGGGAGTCACCCTGTCCCAAACCAGTGTCCCCATGCTGTTGGTGCCTGAGCTGTCAGGTCCTGCCGTGGCCCCCAGCCCCATCCATGGGATATCCAGTGTCAGTAGGGCTATTTTGGGATGCTGGTGGTTTGTTGAGGGACCCTGGTTGGGATAAGGGAGGAGGAATAAGAAAAAAACCCTAGGAACTGAACCAGTGCCAAACTCCTGTGGGGGCAGCAGAAAGGGCAGCGCCGGCTCCCGAGGAGGAGGAGGAGGATGGAGCTGAGAGGAAGGAGCGCAGGCATTGTGGGGCCAGCCGGGGAGGAGCACGGCTCCAGGAAGGCTCTGGCATTGGGATGAGCTGAGCTGTGGCTCCCCTGGTGCCAGCCTGCCCCGTGCCAGGCCCACAGCACCTTCAGGGACCCCACAGAGCAGCATTCCCAGGCTGCACCCCCTGCTCTGACCCCAAACCAGGGTCCCTGTCCTGCCCCATCAAATCCACCCATCCTGCCTGCACCCTGTACACCCCAGGGACTCTGCTGTGCCCAGGGCAGGGAGGGCTCTCACCCACCCACCCCTGCTCACGGAGCCCTTCCAGCTCCCCCCAGCCCAATTTCCAGAGGGAATTGCAGGGGGTGGGCAAGGACCCCTGAGCACCCCTCGCCTTTCCCTTCCCGAATCCCCCCTTCCTAGTTTGAACCCCCAGAAACGCCAAGGGAAAGCTTCCCCCCCCCCTCCCCCTGGGCATGGGGGGTACCCCACTCCCTGCAGCGCTCAGTGCCCCCCTGGCACGGCCCTGCCCGGCCCGGGCTCGGTGGGGACGGGGGCCGGCGATGCTCTGGCGTGGCCATGGGAACAGCCGGCGTGGGCAGTGCCCGGCTCTGCTCAGCACACACAGCCCGCTGCTGCCATCTCGTGTCCTCCGCAGCCCCTCGGGGCGGGGACACCAGCACACGGCCAGACGGGCTAGGGAAACTGAGGCACGGGCACACCGGGGCCGGGGAAACTGAGGCACGGGCACACTAGGGTGGGGAAACTGAGGCAGACCCTCCAGGCTGTTGCTCCAGAGGAAATCTCCTTCCAAAAAAGCAGTTCGTTGTT